ATATAGAGTGCTTCTAAAATATGAAACAAGCTCTTCACGAGGGACTTAACAATTATTCCACAAGCACATGTTGGATATGTAATGATCAGCGGTATTTCATATAAGTGTAGACATGCGCATTGGTACCAATACCAGTTAGCCATGTTGGAATAAAACTTAGATCTTGTTGACTAAAGCTATGTTTATCCAATCCTCTGTAAGAAAAAAGATGGCGACTGGCACATTTATCCATAGTTCTTAACGCACGAAAACCTTAACAACGTTCATAAAAACGTACAGAAATGTTATAAAATCTTCAAACCTAGGCTACTTAATGTCCTTGGAACAGAGACAAATACTGTAAAAGAAGTTGGCTTTCTTTGTGCCTTATAGGCTGTGGTAGGCTCGCAGGGCATTGTGGTAAAATGTACAGCGGCCATCTTTTTCCTACGGTGGATTCTATCGTACTCTCGGAACAAGAACATCACAGGATATACAAATGATAGCCTCCATTTGGCGCGAAAATATGTACAGATATTTGCCTGCGGACATTATCTGTTCTGAGAAGCGAGTAGTTTGCTCTTGGAAAACTGTGAGCCTCGAGAAACAGATAATATCAAACGACAAATATCTGAGCTATTTTTAAAACTAAAATAAAATAAAAATGATAATGCCCGAAGAAATTACGTGTATGCATGAAGAGCATGGTATAATAAAACAAAAGAGTTTAATATGTTCAGTTGTCACAGGGCATAAATAGTTGTTTTGGTCCTAGCTTAGACTCATTTAAACCCGAGCTGCTAGGCAAGGGCTAAAATGAGGTCTTTGAAGGGCTCGATGGCCAAAACATATTTATGCCCAAGAACATAAACTCTACTGATATTATTATCACTTAGGAGGGTATTGAGAAACTGAAAAAATATTGAAGAAATGACAACAAAACAGTCCGAACAATCATGCAAGCATTTACAAGTTGAATTCCTTTATTTGTTTTCCCTCAATGAAAATATGCAATACATCAAGCGAAGCTAACTAGAAATTACAAAATCTTGGCATGTGGGTTTTCAAGAATTGTAACAGACACAAAAGGAAAGTTCAGTTTAGCTTATTTGTAAGTGTTGAAATTAATTGTATAATTACCAAACTGTCAGCAGGCTAAAATACACTTTAGCCCACCAGATTCACCATTTTAGCCTGCAAAATGTGCCACAATGCTTGATGAAGTGATAATAATTGCTCTTATTGATATTCTAGCTGCAGTACATGTAGGTTGAATCTCCCCACCTACATGTATGCCAACAAATTGAAGAACATGAAGGATCGGCAGTCAGAAACCATCTTAGAGAGCAAAATAATAGGAAGGCAGATGACATTGCACAAAGTTTTAAGGTACATGTAGGTAGGTAGGTAGGTAGGTAAGACTTTATTTTATGAGGTTAACATTTGACAGTATTAAAACTGATAGCCTAATGGCCCTCAAAAATTAAAATTTTAGAAAAAGAAAGAAATAGTACAATCGTAACAATATTAAAAATAATTAAAATAAAATAATTAAGCCTACATA